ATTTGCATGCGTAACTGTATTACTTTTAATGTGTCACCATCATAGTATTTTACTAAGAAACAGTTGATCTTACATTTTTCTTAAGTCAAATAGGACTGCACTGCTTACAGCTGTTAATCTTATTTCGGTTCCCTAGTAAATGTCTCCAGTACTATTGTAACGTTACCCATAGGACAATTTGACCATCGGTCCACCACGAGCTTCAGCAAACTGAGGGCAAGCGCGGTGTGACTGCGAGGACTTAGTCTTATGATGAAAGCCACCTTCCCTATCCTCCACTTCCTTTTTGCTGAACTACAAAAGCCGCTTAATTGTTACACTTTCACACAAGACCGAAAACTCAGTGATCGCGCGTTCATCTCCTTCGCAGCAAGACCTACCGCTCGCCTATTTTGCTTCCACTTTCAAGTTCGGTTTTCTTTTTCTCTCTTATGTTCTTGCTGGCGTATTTTTCCCACTAAAATAAATGTTTCATTTCTTTCGCTATCTCAGTTTTCGTGACAAGCTTAATTAAATCAGGGCTAGGACACTCGAGCGAGGCATGCGAGGCAAAATCAATTGCACAGGTGACCGTCAAAAAAATCGATACGGCTTGTGTGTGCTATACTTTTGAAAACATTTAGCCCACCGGGGCCCCTGCAAGCGCATGCTGTTGCTCTTGTTCTTCGCAGCTTTAAGCTGCATATACGCCTACGACAAAGAATATGAGTCCTGTTGTGTTAAGAATGAACACGAGTGTGAAATAGCATATAAGGTTCTTGATCGGGTACTCAACCACATAATCTTGACAGGAGAGTGTATCTACTTGCGAAACAACACTCTGCGCATCAAAGTAAACAATGATGGTGTCCAGAACCTGCCTACTGGACCGTATGAATGCATACCTGAGGACGGAAGCTCCGAGACACGAAAAAAGCTTTTTCTTTTTGGTAAGTCCTGTCCCATACTTTTCTACTCTCTTCTTATCATGCAATTGGTTTGCGTAATAAATTGTTCCAAAAATGTCTGAGTAGAATGGCTCGCGTACTGCTTGCATAGGTTTTCTTACTCTAAAATAAAAAAAAATTATTTTCGCTCGCTGTCAGAAACTCAGTTTATCTAGGACAGATGGTGAAGATAAGAAACGCTAGTAGCCAGAGGCCCTTTTCTAAATTCCACATGCGTGCATAAGGTACCATAAGTCCTCCTCATTCTGCCAGATTCTGGTAAGGCTTAAGAAGTATTCTGACGATAACAATGGACTAAATGGCCAGTTAGGGCTTATTAGCCGCCTTCATCCAGCAATGTCCGGCCGCAGTTTTGCATGAACCGAAGTTTTAAACCTGGGTCTTTGTTACTTACTCATTATCAGCATATACTCTGCCGAGCTTTGGTGTTTCAAAAGTTCTAATGCAAGAATTTTCATCCTTATGTGATTCGCACCCATACACACCTAAATAATTCCAAGAAAACAACGGATGGAGTTTCTGCTAGTCCGCATACCGATCATATCATGTAATACATCATCGGTAAATTTTATAATTAGCCATGGCTACTACCACGAGAATCTGTTTGCAAACCAACCACACCTACAAAAGACTCGCCCTCTGAGTTAATTTTCTTGTTTTCAGCTGTCTCCGATGAGATGTTTGAGTGTGGATCCGAGATATCAGACGACCGTTAATACTTCTCGACTTTTTCCTGGAAGCCCACGTTCGCCTTTATTGGGGATCAGCCAAAGTACTGCAATCTCTAATGTGACAAAAAACAAGAAAGGATTTGTTGCAAACTTCCGTTGTTGAGGCGTTTGATAAGGCTAGGCATTAGCAGCTATAACAGCTCAAATAGGGAGTGTACTCGAGTACAAATAAAAGCGGCTGACAGCGGAAGCGTCGTAAATTGTTTACACCTTCACGGCAAAATTGAAAATATAAAACTGCAGTGGGATTATTCACTCTTCTCTGTGTCTGATAATAGTGCCATAATCAGACGCAACATGTGGCGTGGAGTTTTACGCAGATTAAAACCACATTGCGTAGGATATACTCGAAGGAAATTTTCAAAGGGTGCGTCATCGCTTATTGGTCAGCATTCAAAATCGTATTAAACGGATTAAGTACCCAATTCTGCCCTTTCTCGGAAAAGAAAGTAACAATCAGACCCCGATGGCTAACGACCACACTGAAGCGAGAAGTAAACCGCAAACGAAATATGTGGCAAACCTATCTCAGAGAGAAGACCCCCGAGGCAAATAGAGAGAGTAAAGACGGTGAGAAATTGGGTAAAAAAGCCTTGTACGAAAAATTCGCTAAAGTCGTACCCGGCTCGGCTACACACATTACTCAAGAATGTGCATTGACTGAATAGGCCTGTTCGGGTCGCTGCATCCCCATAAACATTTGCTGTTTAAGACCTCAGTCAAAAATCGATAGTAACACACCCATGCAGCATTTCGCACCCCTCGACTACGTTTGAGCCTACTACAAGCCATACAGAAGACAGGCCGCAATCGAAAACGAATTCACCACCACCGATTTGGCGAACCCACAGACAGACTAAAACCTGTGCGTCCTGTTCTTTGTTTTTCCTGGCACATGCAGCAAGATTCAGGTCATGTGTGGCACGCATCGATCGACTGTTTAGCGCTATCATTCACAATTCCCACGGTAAGAAACCGCTGGTTGGCAGGCTGGGACACTCAACTCCACCGCAGAGGAAGTAGAAGGGATGGATTCCCTGGCATCGGCTAACATGACGGGGATGTGTGCTCGGATCACATCGGAACCACCAAACGGGAGGGGATGTAAGCAGTGTTTGTACTATGGGTACTATAATCGTCAGGTAAAATCCCATGTTGTAGGCAAAAGGCTGAAGGCAACAGAATGATGGATTTATTGTGGCAAGAACCCTACTTTATTGTCTCAGGCAGCAGGGACCAGTGGCCAAGCCACGACTAGCATTGACTACATCCAGTCATCCCTGAGAGAGAGAGAGAGAGTGAGGCAGCGGTGGCAGCTACTTTTATTTCATTGTGGAACAAGGTTCAATGCCGTCTAATTGGTGCATTGCAGTACCCAAGGAGATTGTCGTGTAAAATGATCAACGCTGCGTCTCCCATTTCAAGTTAACCTTAAGCAGCCGTGACTATAGGGGCTCCCGGAGGAGGTCGGCGGAGTGTCTGCAGGTCAGCGAGTTGGAAAGAGTTCGTTGCGAAGTTACATGACCTTGAAACAGTGAACATGGAAAAAATAAGTCGACCAGCAAGTTCGGCTGTCAGCCACAAACAAACCGAAGTGAATACAGAGGCCGACTCAATGATGTCGACAGCCATTGCTCTTAGGGAGTATAGTAGGATTACTGCACGCCTTACAGCGGCAACATTAGAAGACCAGTAACAGCAACGTCTTGTGGTCAGGTTTCTGCCAGTTATTCGTGTTATCATTCCACTGAAGAATAGAAAGACTAGCTAACCTGTTTTCCGGTACCCCTTGGTTAGTCATAACCTGAAAATAACCACTCCATAAAATCAGATAACCTCAACTTTGACATTTAAGTGAGTCAAACAAATCGATAACAACGAGTTCCTCAAATGCAGGTTGTATTTCACCAAAGGCACATCAGTGAGAGCAGACGGTGCAGTCGTTACCTGCCGGGTCACTGCAATCCGGAAGATTTCCTGAGCAGAGGGTTTTGGCTTAGTCAGAAGAGTTTGACACTATTGTTCAGTGTCTGGTATATTTATCGAACCTTCTAGTGGGTTATTTTATTGTTATATCGTTTAAAAAAACAAGTCTAGCTTTTAAGAAGGACACCAGGCCCAAGCATGTACTGTTTACACCTTTATGATTAAGTATTGCAAACAGTTAATATGAGTAGAGTTTGTGGGCTGCTCAAATGATTCTAAACCCAATGAAAGTGATTATGAACCCAAATGAATTTTAGAAAGGATACGTAACAAGTCACACGCAACATAGCGTGTCGTAAAAAACATAAAACATCACTTTTAACTCAATCAATATTCCGGAACTGGGATTACGAGTTGCTGCAGCTGTTTCAGCTAGTCCTGTAAGTTTTTTGTGACTCCGCATTATCCCGTGTTAGTGACACTGGTCTCGGAATATCTATTTTGCAATCATCTTAAGATACTTACTCAGCGAACGCTCTAAGAGAACGCCCCACGAAGCTGGGCAAGATTCTACCCTAGTGCGCTCAATGTTTATGTGGTTTGATAATATATTTAAGGCAACCAAGATAAACTAGAAACGACAACTCAGAGGTAACAGACTTTAAGGTGAAATGGAGAGCGTTGACTGTTTGTGAGAGATAAGCAAGCATAATTGGTACTACTCCTGCTCATAAACTTGTCAGCTGCTCACGCGATTCCAGGTCTGCTCAAGATAATGAGAAATCTTCATCGATTCGATGGAAGACAAGGACAGTTAAGATGTGGGACGCCCGGTGGGAGGAATAGTATATTCTGTACAGAACTAAAGAAGAATAGGTTGAGCGAAGTTTGCCAGTAGGACGAGTGCATGATCACCCGCGAGGGCGGCGTCTTAAGTGTGAGATCACGG